CCCTGCTGCCGTCTGTCTTTTCCTTACTATTTTGAGTAACTGCCCACAAAACAAATAATTCCACTCCCTGGTCGGGCAGATAAAACATAACCTTTGCTCTGGCCGGTTTGGCTCAGTGGATGGAGGAGCATCGGCCTGCAGACCGAAGGGTCCCGGGTTCGATTCCGGTCAAGGGCACGTACCTCGGTTGCAGGCTCCTCTCCGGCCCGGGCCCTGGTCGGGGCGCGTGCAGGAGGCAACCAATGGATGTGTCTCTCTCACATCTCTATTTCTCTCTCTCTCTCTGTCTCTCCCTTTCCCTTCCACTCTCTCTAAAAATCAATGGGAAAATTAACAACAACAAGAAACACTTCCACCTTCATTTTGCTTCCACGTATGTCTGACCATGAGAGCATCCTTCCTCCGTGGCAGGTGTGCGCCCTGGCCCTGAGCCGCCCCGTCTGTTATGTGGACGGCTTTACGCATCCCTCTCACATGCTCTCCCCCGGCTCGCTTCCACCCCTCCTGTACTTGTTCTCCGAGCCCTGCACCATGCCCACTGCCCTCGCTAACCCGTGGAACTGCAGGCAGGGTTCCAGGGGCAGCTGGCGGTGCCAGGAACAGATGGATTCAGGAAGCTACACTCAGCCCAGCTGGCGGGGCTCAGTGGTTGAGCATCGACCTGTGAACCAGGAGGTCAGGTCACGGTTCGATTCCCCGTCAAGGGCACACGCCCGGGTTGCGGGCTCGATCCCCAGTGTGGTGCGTGCAGGAGGCAGGCGATCCAGGATTCTCTCTCATCATTGATGTCTCTGTCTCTCTCTCTCCCTCGCTGAAATCAATAAAAATATATTTTAAAAAAACAACAACAACCCTAACCGGTTTGGCTCGGTGGATAGACCGTTGGCCTGTGGACTGAAGGGTCCCAGGTTCGATTCTGGTCAAGGGCATGTACCTTGGTTGCGGGCACAACCCCAGTGGGGGGTGTGCAGGAGGCAGCTGATCGATGTTTCTCTCATCGATGTTTCTGACTCTCTGTCCCTCTGTCCCTTTTTCTCTGTAAAAAATCAATAAAATATATTTAAAACAACAGCAGTGGGGAACCCCTGCTCAGAGCCACGGTTCTCAACCTCCTGAGAGTCTCAGCCCCGGAATCTCACAGGAAAAGGCCCGTGAATTTAGATGTGCAAGTTGCACACGATTTCAGTGGCCTCCTGGCGCCCCCGTGGCACGTGGCTAACCCGCGTGTTTTCTGGGCACAGATGGGCGACCTTGACTGCCATGTGGACCTGCAAGGAGCCGGAACGAAGCAGAGAATTTGGGGGGTTGGAAGCGCGAGGTTTTCAGAGGCCTGTCTTTCTAAGCAGGTTATAGATCTTAGGAATCTGATTTGAAACCCATTTTCAATGACAATCCCAGATGTGAGGTGTTTTTTTCTGTCTTTTTTTTGCAGAATCCAGTTTTGGGGAAAAATGTGTTTTGCTGGCTTTTTCCTGAACGGACTTGTTCAGACATGTTAGTCTTTCAGGGCGAAGTGCCGGTGAGGTTTTAACCGTCCGCTGAGCCCCACGCCCTGCGGGGTTCCCTCTGGCTGCCGTGTGGACCGCCTGGAACTAGCAGGGACTCGGGCCTGGCGGAAAGTAAAGCCCCCGCAGGCTGGGACCACCGGCCCTACTGCATGTGTTTAATGTTACACACACTGGGAACACCGGCCCTACTGTGTGTGTGTTTAATGTTACACGTGCTGGGACCACCGGCCCTACTGCGTGTGTGTTTAACGTTACACGTGCTGGGACCACCTGCCCTACTGCGTGTGTTTAATGTTACACGTGCTGGGACCACCGGCCCTACTGTGTGTGTTTAACGTTACACATGCTGGGACCACCGGCCCTACTGCGTGTGTGTTTAATGTTACACGTGCTGGGACCACCTGCCCTACTGTGTGTGTGTTTAATGTTACATCTGCTGGGACCACCGGCCCTACTGCATGTGTTTTATGTTACACGTGCTGGGACCACCGGCCCTACTCTGTGTGTGTTTAGTGTTACACATGCTGGGACCACCGGCCCTACTGTGTGTGTTTAATGTTTGTTTTGTGGAACCAGGGGCATCTTAGAACCTCTGGAAGTGGCAAGAGGGGAAAGATGTTATGGTTTCTGGATGTGCCACGTAACCAGATAATTGCACGAATGATTGGAAAAGAAGTCAGGGTCAGTCCTGTGAGTGGGCAGCTTTTGTCTTCATTTTCTTCCCCTTGTTCGATGTCTGAGTCTTCACCGAGTCGGCATTGTCCTTCCGCTGTGCCTGGTCGGCTGGCCCTGGTTTCCTCTCCTTCCCCTTTACCACAGGCTCCGAGCCCGGCCGGTGTGGCTCGGTGGTTGAGCATCGACCTATGAACCCGGAGGTCACGGTTCGATTCCCGGTCAGGGCACATGCCCGGGTTGCGGGCTCCATCCCCAGTGGGGGGCGTGCAGGAGGCAGCCGATCCGTGATTCTCTCTCCTCATGGATGTTTCTGTCTCTCTCTGAGATCAATAAAAACGTATTTTAAATACATACGTAACTAACTGTGTGCTCCTCCCCCCGCCCGTCTCCCGCAGGCTATGGCCACACGGTACCCTTGTCGGACGGGGGCAAGGCCTTCTGCATCATCTACTCCATCATCGGCATCCCCTTCACCCTGCTGTTCCTGACGGCCGTGGTCCAGCGCGTCACCATCCACGTGACCCGCCGGCCGGTGCTCTACGTGCACCTGCGCTGGGGCTTCTCCAAGCAGCTGGTGGCCCTGGTCCACGCCGTGCTGCTGGGCGCGGTCACCGTGTCCTGCTTCTTCTTCATCCCGGCCGCCGTGTTCTCGGTGCTGGAGGACGACTGGAACTTCCTGGAGTCCTTTTACTTCTGCTTCATCTCCCTGAGCACCATCGGCCTGGGCGACTACGTCCCGGGGGAGGGCTACAACCAGAAGTTCCGGGAGCTCTACAAGCTGGGCATCACCTGTGAGTACCCGGGGTGCCCCCGCATGCGGGCCACGCTCCACCTGGTCTACCCACGGGCAGCCCTTCCTAGAAGCCCCGGTTGCTTTCTCGTGGATACAGTTTCAGTTCGCCATCCATCACTGTTTCATTGGATCGGGATTCCCCCTTCAGAACGCTTTATGTAAAAATCGTATTATTTCTTTTAAAATATATATATTTTATTTATTTATTTTTAAATATATTTTATTGATTTTTTACAGAGAGGAAGGGAGAGGGATAGAGAGCTAGAAACATCGATGAGAGAGAAACATCGGTCAGCTGCCTTCTGCACACCCCCTACTGGGGATGTGCCCCCAACCAAGGTACATGCCCTTGACTGGAATCGAACCTGGGACCCTTCAGTCTGCAGGCCGACGCTCTATCCACTGAGCCAAACCGGCTAGGGCTATATATATATTTTAAATATATTTCTTTATTGATTTCAGAAGGGAGGGAGAAGGAGAGAGAGATAGAAACAGCAATGATGAGAGAGAACCATTGATCAGCTGCCTTCTGCACGCCCCCCACTGGGGATCAAGGCATGTGCCCTTGGCCGGAATTGAACCTGGGACCCTTCAATCTGCAGGCTGACGCTCTATCCACTGAGCCAAGCCGGCCAGGGATATATATATTATTGATTTTAGAGAGGAAGGGAGAGGGAAGGAGAGAGAAAAAATCAATGATGAGAGAGAACCATGGACCGGCTGCCTCCCGCATGCCTCCTACTGGGGATCGAGCCCAAAACCCAGGCATGTGCCCTGACTTGGAATAGAACCGCGACCTCCTGGTTCATACGTCGACGCTCAACAACGGAGCCTCGCCAGCTGGGCTCTCATGGATAAATTTTCAACTTCACTATCATTGTTTCATTGGATCAGGATTCCCTTCCAGAAGGCTTTATGTAAAAATCTTATTATTTATGAGAGTCATTTTTCCCAAGCACCTTAAACGTACAGATCAAGGCCCAGCTGGCGTGGCTCGGTTGAGCGTCGACCTATGAACCAGGAGGTCACGGTTCAATTCCCAGTCAGGGCACATGCCCTGGTTGTGGGCTCGATCCCCTGTGTGGGGCGTGCAGAAGGCAGCGGACCGATGATTCTCTTTCATCATTGATATTTCTGTCTCTCCCTCTCCCTTCCTCTCTGAAATCAATGAAAACATAATTAAAAAAATAACAGGACAGGTCAATTTCTTACTTGTAATAGACATTATAAATTACAGTGTAAAAATGTGCCACAGAATGTACTTGAGAACCAACTTTTAATTGAAAAATGTTTCTCTGCAAACAAGTCCCAGGATTGCAGCCGGGTGCAGGCAGCCATGCTCTGTAATATACCAGAAACATCTTTTTTAAAAAATATATATTTTATTGATTTTTTACAGAGAGGAAGGGAGAGGGATAGAGAGTTAGAAACATCGATGAGAGAGAAGCATCGATCAGCTGCCTCCTGCACACCCCCTACTGGGGATGTGCCTGCCACCAAGGTACATGCCCTTGACCGGAATCGAACCTGGGACCCTTCAGTCCGCAGGCCGACGCTCTATCCACTGAGCCAAACCGGTTAGGGCCCAGACACATCTTAAAACAGTTGCTTATCTTATTGGCCACCTGCTTCTCCTTTGACACGGAGACCGTGCTGACCATTTCAGAATGTTATATGTGTGGAACGTAGGCAATCCGTTTCAGGTGGCCAGTGACCGATCATTTTTAAGCAGTTTTTACAAATTCCATGCGATCCCCTGGGATGCTGGGAAACCCGGTTTTAGGGAACCGTGGAGTCGCATCGGAATGTCCGTGCGCTTTTCCTTTCGGCCTCATCAAGGACGTTGCCAGGCTCCATCCAGCCCTGGCCACGGCGTCGAGTCGGCAGGCAGCTGCCCTCCCTGGCCCCGGCTTGTCAGCCTAACCTGACACAACCACGTGCGTGTTCGCATTTCTAAGTTCCGTAAATATGTACCAAGTAGTTAAAAGGAGATTTCATATTTCCTCTAGTGACCATAATTATTTTTTTTATTTATTTTTTAAAATATCTTTGTTTTTGTTTTTTTTTGTGTGTAAGAAAAAATAACATGACAAGTTTTATTAGTGATTGAAATCCAGATATCCATGACCCCAAAGCAAAATAATTATCAGTTAGCAATAGATATTTTACCTAAATGTATATTTCCCTTTTTATTTATTTTTAATTTAATGTAGCTGGTATACAACATTATATTAGTTTCAGGTGTGAAATACAGTGATTCAATATTTTTTTAATATATATTTTTTATTAAGATATTACATATGTGTCCTCCTTATTAAAATATGTTTTTATTAATTCCAGAGAGGAAGGGATAGGGAGGGAGAGTGAGAGAGAGAGAGAGACATCAATGATGAGAGAGGATCATGGATCGGCTGCCTCCTGCACGCCCCACACTGGGGATGGAGCCCGCAACCCGGGCCTGTGCCCTGACCGGAATCGAACACTGACCTCCTGGTTCATAGGTCGAGGCTCAACCACTGAGCCACGCCAGCCAGGCTGGGTCCCCCCACTTTGAGCCGTGGGATTCCAGGGGTGCCTCGAAATCGGAGCAGTGGCGATGACTTGATTCATGAGCGGACACACCTGGGGTCCTGGCTTGATCTGCCCGTGACGGGGTCCCACTGAGACGCGGGTTTTGTCGCGCAGGTTACCTGCTGCTCGGCCTGGTGGCCATGCTGGTGGTGCTGGAAACCTTCTGTGAGCTGCACGAGCTGAAGAAGTTCCGCAAGATGTTCTACGTGAAGAAGGACAAGGACGAGGACCAGGTGCACATCATGGAGCACGACCAGCTGTCCTTCTCCTCCATCACGGACCAGGCGGCCGGCGGGAAGGAGGACCAGAAGCCCGACGAGCCCTTCGTGGGCCCGGAGCCGCCCGCCCAGGCCGACGGCCCCCCACAGCGCTGAGCGCGGGGCTGGTCCTCCCGCGCCGGGTGGGGCGGGGCAGGGAGAGGTTTCGCTTTGTTCGTCTTAGGAGAATACAAAAGCCAAAACGATATCTTAACAAACACCCGCTGTTGGTAATATTCGAAATGAGACAGCAAGTGGAACGAAGAAAGCTTTTGCCCCCCGAGGACTGTCTGATATCTGAGGACCCGGGGTACGTACCTGTCATTCATCTGAAACACAATGATCCAGACTGTTTAGTGGGGTGAGGACCGCTGTGGGTAGAAGCCGGTTTTCTACTTTTCATTGGGGATGTTGGGTTTTGCCTCGAAATCATCTAGCGGACGGCTCAATAGCAACCTTTATACTGAAAAGCCAATGGGAAGCCTAGAGATTTGTTTTATAAATTTATGTGTATGGGTTTGCATGCGCCCACCCGAAATGATTATTTTTGTAGAACCTAAGATAACCCTGTTATTTATAACGGAATAGGTGCCCGTGAACTGTGTACATACCGGGTATACATATGTTCATATCCTATACATATGAGGGGTTCAGGTAGGCGGTTCTCAGCAAACCTCCTCACCTGAGATTGTAGCTATCCTGTCTTTGGATTCCTCTTTGTACTAAAGACTCGAGCGAGCGCGGCTGCGGTAGGATCAGGGGGAGAAGGCACGGGAGAGCGAAGGCCTGGCGTACTCCGCTGCCATAAACCTGTCCGTCCTCTGGCAATAAATAGTGCGCTCAGGTGCCTGCGATGCTGACGAGCATTTCTCCGGAAGTGAACGGTCGTGAGAACGCGGTCTATGAAACGGGTGGGACGTTGGTTCCGAAAGCGCGCCGTGACCCGCAGTCCCCTGGCACTAACACGCGGGACGTGGCCACAGAGGCCCCACGTGACGACATACTGTCAAATGAATCAGAGACTTTACATTTTTAAAAATATATATTTTTATTGATTTCAGAGAGGAAGGAAGAGAGAGAGAGAGAGAGAAACATCCATGATGAGAAAGAATCTACTGGGGGATAGGGGAGGCCGGGGGAAGGTCAGAGGGGGGAGGGGGAAGGAGACACATGTAATACTCTTTGTAATACTTGAAGCAATAAATCAAAATTAAATAAAAAAGAAAGAATCATGGATCGGCTGCTGCCTCCTGCACGCCCCACACTGGGGATCGAGCCTGCAACCCGGGCATGTGCCCTGACGGAATCGAACCGTGACCTCCTGGTTCATAGGTCACGATGCTCAACTCCTGAGCCACGCAGGCTGGGCAACATAGATTACCTCTTGACTCACCAAAAAGTGTGGGACGGTGTTTCCTAGGAACCTCGTTAAAATAAAATAAAATAAAAAGGTTTTCCCGCTGCTTCTCATTGGAAAACTCTGTCTGGTTATTAGGATTCAGATGTTTCCCGGCTCTTGACCTGGTAGGAGATGCTGGAAACAATTCAACAATTCAGGGACTGTCTCCTGTCCACACACACACACACACACACACACACACACACAGCACCGGGCTCTCCGTGGGGGCTGGAGGGGTCCCCGGGGGGCAGGAGGGCTGGACATAGGGTGGGGCCTTCCTTGAGGCCAGTGCTCCCTGGATGCTCTCCCCCTACAGCCCCTAGACTAGGACCATGTCCTGTGTCCCCCCACCCATCTGATCTCGGGGTGCCCAGAGCCTCCAGGAACATCCGATGGAGAAACGGTGCCTTCCCAGTCTTAGGATTGAGTTTGTTTCCGCTTTGCTCAGTATTTTTTTTTTTTTGCAGAACAGATACTAAGATAGAAGCATGTACCTCCTCCTAATTTTTTTAACTGAACCAACAAAGCCCTCCGAGGTGCCAGGGATCGGGGTGCAGGCCTGTTCGTTAGCTCGTGCGCCCTCTAGTGGCTGTCAGGAGCACACCACCAAAGTTCAGGCTGAAACAGGACAGCAGTTAACTATTCTGCACTTCGCTGGTTTTCCCTAAAAGTTGGG